TTTGTCATTTGTAAATAAAAACATGGTAAAGATAACTCTTTAAAAAAAAATTAAGGATTGATTTTACACACACACACGTGTGTGAGTGAGAGAGATATATTATGAACAGGACCCTGTTTCTAAAACGATTAAAAAAAACAAAAAAAAAACAAATCAATATTTTTCAGTTCTGGTAAGTGTCACAGGTAGAGTAAGATATAATGAATACTAATCAGCAAAAATTAATCACAAAAAATATTTTCCTTATTTTTTATGAGTTGATCAGCTTTCCTCAATAGTTAGTGTTACCAGTGTTGTGCTTGAATCTAGTTCTATCAAGTATTTTTGTTTGTTTTTGTTTTTTACTTAGAATTTGGTTATATGAATGCATTTCTAAAATATTTATCTATTTTTAAGATTGCATGATGTGATATGCACTTCTCTATTCTTACAAAAATGTTTTACTGATTGACTGTCTTGCAGCCCCAGTTTAGATTGGAATAGGAAAAAAAAATACATACACATACACAAACTACAAAATGTCCATATGAAAAATCCATGTACTAACTGTTTGCTAAATGCCTGTTGTGCTGTTTTTGTTCAAACAGTACAGTATCGGCATTCCTTTCTCGTTCCAGAGTCAAGTGCCCATATTGCCCCATTGAACAGATTCCAGCAGATGCAAAACGGATATACTTTTAAGGAAACCACACAGAAATTTTTCCCTTCTTTCTTGCAATTTCTTTTCTAATATTGTCTGTTCTAAAATAAATTTATGTGCAGAAAACCATTATAATGTTTTTTGTGACTTTTTACACATACTGTCTTTCAAGAACTAATTTTATAACCAAAAACTTAAAATTTTTTTTGTGTTTTTTTTTTTTCTTTTCTTTGGAAGAAATCAATAATTGTTACTCATAACCATAATCAGTTTGGAATGCTGGTACTTATCCTAGGCATGGTTCTAAAGAGAAAATTGAAGTTAATTTTGATTAAATCAAAATGAAAGCAATAAATTGTTTACTCTTTTAATGTTGCTTTTTTTTTTTCTCTGGTAATTAAATGAAATTTTACTGGAATAATTTTCTTTATGCTCCCTTCAAATAGAAATAATGCTTTTTGTCTTTCTATATGTTTATGCACACATATCTAGTAACATTTATCTGTTGAATCACAATTAAGTTTAGTGCACTGGAATTGTCAGTGAGTGCTTTAGGAAGGCCAGCTGATCTCCTTACACTAAAACTAATAAATATAAAATTGATAAAACAAGATCTGCTTTGATTGATTTGTTTTTTATGGCTTATCAAATCTTTGTAGGTTATTTAAAACCAGAATATATTTTCAGATTGTAAGTTCTTTGGGTTTTTTTTTTAGATAATTATGATTTACTGATACAAGGGAGAGAAAAGGTGGATTCATACCCTTTCCTGGGGATATTTGGCATAAGTGGCTATAACAAACCCAACCAGAATTGGAACTCAGCTCTTCAATTATCAATTCCAAGCCATTATCCACTGAACCATCTTCACAACACATGGTATTTCCAAGTGGTCACCCATCTAGGTACTGACTTGGCTCAACATTGTATTCTACTGAGAAGGGGATTTAATTTGTAAAAATTTATGCAGTAAGTTAGTGAAATCTTAAATTTATAAATTATAGCCAGTCATTCAATTGTTTTATCAGACAGACTGATTATCTTGAAACTGATATTTATTTCATGTCATAAGCTTTATAATGGAACTTTTCAAACACCTTTTTAACTTCTGAAATAATACATTTTTAAGACTTACTTTAAAACTATGAATTGGATATTTACAATAGGCTGTACTCTTACAATGTTGTCTTTATTTTAAACTGACATTGAGATTTTAGTACTGCTTATTTGTGGTAGAAGTAATAGAGCTAGTTTTAAACTTGCTTCACTGCTTATAAGTTGTAAGCCTCATCAATATGACATTTGAAATAGAACTTGAGATCTCAAAACTCCAAATATTTTTACTTAATTGAATTTGATCCCTCAGCACTCTCACTTACTTATTGATTCATATCTTGAAAACTGTTTTTTTGCAGCTTTTTCAATTTTCAAATGAATATTCAAAATAAGTTGCTGTCTTGTAATTGGGAAGGATTTGAAAGGAAGGCCATAAAATTTGAAACTGAAAACTCTACATGATGTTGACATGTTTTTCACATTTTTATTGAATAAAGTAAGAAGCATGGTGAAGTAATGGATTGCAGCTTGAATTAAGGAATCGGTCGAGTTTGAATTCCAGTCAAGTTCATTACATTCACTTATGTGCTAATACCCTTAGGAAAGATATGAATCCACCTCTTCCATCCAGCTATAGATAAATAGCAGAACAGATTCTGTCCTATAACCTTGGTTGGCAACCAGTCTAGGTGAAGGAAAACTGAATTCAAACCAGCCTGGAAAAGGTTGGGCTCTGTCAGGCTGTCTTGATTGACTGGTGCCCCTTAGGGTTATGGAATTCATGATTGTGAGAGATGGGGGTTCCTACAAATTCATGATCAATGTAATTGACAAATTGGGTTGGAAAAACTTGTTTCAATTCTGAATCCTTCCAAAATTCATCAGTTCTATGAAAATACCAAATTAAAAAGCACACTAATTTAATCAACCTTTCCTGTATTCTCCTTTGCATGTGAAATAACTGACAAAATTTTCCATTCCTTTTCCACTCCCTACAAATAAAAAATAGCTTTCAGTTCTCCAGTAATGAGTTTTACAGGTTTGGTTATAGTGGTTAAGAGAATCATGACTTCAGAAATCATGCACTATCCCAAGTTATCATGCATTAATACAAAAAAAAACTAAAATTAAACAAAATCAAAGTTCCCTTTTCTTAGCAGTCTGTCTAATTTTGATTATATTCAATAAGAAAAATCATATTTGAGGGTACAAATCTAGACAAACAAAACTGGTCTTGACTTGAAGTGTGTAAACTTTGTCATAGTATAAGACTTTTATCCTTGGGTTTAACAATGTCTATAAAGTGAGAACATAAGAAATAATTCTTTTTAAACTTAAAGGATTATAAAATAATTGTTGATAATTTTGTTTGTATTGATGGAGGCAGAAGTGAACTTGCTTATTTCAGCCATTATCAGATAAGAGTGATGTGTCATGTCAAGATGTCCTTGATTCATGCTTTTGCTTTTAAAGCTTTCAAAAAATGTACATGAAACCACTGCTTCCTTTTTGAACCATTATTCATTCTTTATGAATATTTTCATTTTAATTGCTTTTCATGACTACTCAGATCATCAATCTACAGCAGAATTTTTTTTTTCTGATCTGTACTGTTTACGAACAGTCTAAACAGTAAACAATGAAAAGCCCCCTTTTTTTTCTATTTTTTTCTTTTTCTAATCTGTATCACGCCATACAAGACAGGTAAAGTCACTAAAACACAGGGGTTTACTTTGCATGGAAGAATTAGGAACAGAAACATTACTTTTTTCTCTTACTGCTCATTATTAATCAGAACACTAAATAAATATTGATTGACATTGCATTTAAATTTTTGCAGACTAAAGTTAAAATGAAAGAAATGCTATTTCTCATTTGTTTGTCAACATTTTTATGTTTAAATCGTTTTGGATTGCTTCAAGAAATGTTTCCCTTGATCCACATGAAAAAAAGCATCATCAGCCATTTACACTTTCTTAAAACAGTCTGAGTGTTCCTATGAGTCACTAAAATGGGATAAAGGAATATACCTCACTAGTTCCTGTTCAGAAAAGTGCATTTTCTTGCTCAGCTATGTTTAAAAAAAAAAAAAAGTACAGGATTAATAGGTAAATAAGTGGATATGTTTCTCGTTTTGGATTGCTTCAAGGAATGTTTCCTTTGAAGCCACATGAAAAAAAAAAAGCATCATCAGCCATTTCATTTACACTTTCTTACGCCATTTCTTCAACTGATGTCTGAAGATGAACCAGACACAAATCTAATCTTATTCATTGCTTGAAGTGAGTCACTAAGCAAAAGTAAACTAATTAATACTTTTTTGTTACCTGTAATTCAGAACACTTTATGACAATTCTCTTGATTTCCATGGTAATCTCTTTCTTTATGCATTATCACGAGCGCTTTGGCTTAGATAACCTATTTGTCAATTTTCTTAAGAATAGGCCAAAGTGCCACAAGTTTAAAGGTGAGGAACAGATAATGTTGCTTATCAATGTTATTTATTTTAGCAAGTCATAATCACTCATTTACCCATAAGAAAATCCTTTCACAATATTTTTTTCAAAATAACATGCGTTTTTTAGTTAGTATAATGATTCATCTCTTTATAACAATGTAAATGTGTGTGATAGATTGAATATAAAAAAAATAGGCACAAATTTATTTATTTTTTGTTTATGAAGAAGCTACGCCATACTTAATAGATGGTGGGGAAATGAGGAGGTGAAATTGTAGTCTGTTTTCTTCTATTCATCAAACGCAAAAAAAAAACCAGCACCTGCAACAACTAACTATCCAGGGGAACAGCAAAACCGCGAGTTTTTCACAAAAGACTTGCTGGAGGCTCCTTCAAAATTCAAATCATTGTAATTACTACTCAAAATTATGAATCCACTTCTCTTTCTCTCATGTCAGACGCAACATTATTGTTTGATCAACAACGGTCTGGTTGCAAAAGAAAAAAAAAAAAAAATTTGTTGGCATTCACCAGAGATAACATTTTTAAAAAACTTGGAATCTGATATTACTGCCATTGTCTCCTTCCTGAGTCACTTACTAGTGACCTAGAATAGCTCTTTACAATAAATAAATAAATAAAAAAATAGAAGTGAGGTGACATTGTGCATGCATGTTTAAAGCCCGAATAATTTAGGCCAATCTCGAACCACAATAAAATCACGAAGGGAAATTTACATAAGCGACAGTATTTAACTTTACACCGGTTGAGAAACAAAAATATCTTCGATGGTAGAGTGAAGCTTTTAAATTTAATGTTTATTTTTCTTTAGTGGCTCTTAAAAAAATGTCTTTACTTCGATTTTGTTTCCGTAAAAATTTCTTCGTCTTTCGTTCTTCTGTTGGCGTTGGTTGCTTTTCAAGGGAAATATCTACCCAACAAACTAAAAAACTTGACTTACGAGGCATTTTCCCTCCAATCACTACACCTTTTACTTCCAAAGGTTCGATCGATTTTGAAAAACTATCAAAAAATATGAAACGCTGGAACGAAATTCCTTTTAAAGGTAAGTTTGTTTATTATCTTTAAACTTCTTAATTTATTTTATTCATCAGCTTATTTAAAATCCTTAATTTCTAATGGGTGTTATTTCGTTTCTTGAGAAAACTTTGAACCTTTGTTTTGCTCACAAACTTTTTCATGCACGAATGCAAAAAATATAATATAAGCTATCTATCAGAATGTCGAAAAAATTACGTTTGATTTTGAATTTTTCTTTAATGGAAAAAGTGATCGTAGCAGACAATGAAGCTGTAGAAAAGTTTTTTTTTTTTTGTCCGAAAATAAATACTACTTTGCATTTTAAAATTCAAATATTGCCATTATCTTTACATTTTATAATTGATTATAAAATCTGCATTTTTTTTTTTTTTTTTACTTACCTAAATGTTCACTGTACAAGGGCAAAGTAATTACTTGGAACCCATGACTAGTGAATGAGTAATATTAGTACTTTGCAGGAAGCAAGATTAATTCGTTTTCTATGCCTTATCAACCATTTGCAGGTTATTTAAAGCCAGAAAATATTTTTAGAGATTGTATGAAATATCTTTTTTTTTTTTTTTTTTTTTTTGAGACAATAATGATTTAGTGATACAAGTCTTACTAATTAACCCATAGCTGGGAGAAGAGGTAAGTAAGTGAATATAACAAACCCAACTGGACTTAAAACTCAGATCTCCAATTATCCATTACCACTTTCACATCCAAGCTTACAGCACTTGGTATTCTCAAGCGGTCACCCATCTAAGTACTGACCATGCTTAACTTCAGTGATCATACAGAAAGGCAAGTGGAAAAAAAGTAAATAATACAGAAACGGCAATACCTTTGAGAAAAACAGCATAAATGGGACAAAAATGTGGAGACTACATGAGTTTAACAAATTTATTCCAAGGATTAACAATGGGTTAATTTTGAAAAGATGTTATTGTTATCAGTGTATTCATGGAAAGATGATTATTTTCAAGATGTTCATTTTGTAGCAAGTTTCTTCATCTCAATAGTTGATGCTGTTTTCTTAGAAAAGTTGTCTTTTCTACTTTATGGTTTACCATTTCTCTTGACAAAAAAGTAGTTTGCTATTATGACAACTCATTCTCTATTGTAATTGTATATTAACAGGATTCAAGTCATACCCTTGGGTAAAGTATGAATCCATCTCTTCTCCCCTCAGCTATGAGTAAATAGTAGGACAGACAGGGTCCTATATAATTTGGTAGCAACTAGTCTAGAACTCTGAATTCAAAAACCTGCAACTATGGGTTAAAATAGATCAGTCTGGGATCTGTAGCCTTTGTTGGCAACCAGTCTAGGACAACTCTGAATTCAAAATTATATGTAACCCTATTGAAGCACATACTATACAATTAAGGAAAGAAATGTGGAATCTGCATAGATTTGATGATCCTGACTAGTTGACAGACTGCCTTGCTGCAACTTTCAAATTATATTAATTTTAACAAAGCTATATTTGTTACTATTGTACAGAAGTAAGCCTATACATGTGTGCACAGGTTATTTTGAAAACATTTTTCTTCACCCCTTTTCACTGGTATATAATTTAGAATTAAATATTTTCTTAACAAAAATTGTAAAATCTAAAACTTATGACTAACATGAATTAATGTTAAATTTAACATACCAGTGGGTGGTCTACTTTTGTACAATAGTAACACATTTTTCTAAGTAATAAATCAGAAAAAAAACCTGTTATACATCTACAGTGTACTTTAAAAAAAAAGATTGTGCCTCCTATGCTTTGTAAGCAATGAAAAGCAAGTGGTAGAAAAACTAGACTGGTACTGTTTCACCACTTACTTCTCTACGTCAAGTGAGCCAGATGATCATGAAATGGCAGATTTAAATTCAAGCTTCATTAGATACTACTTTACTTCCCATTTCACAAACATGGCTTACATTAGCAGTTGAAATAAAATGCAACAATAATATGGCATAAAGTAGAAATAATGACATGAGAGAAAAATATTCAACATTAGGGACAGAGCATATGTAAATATTTAAACATGGGCATCAACACTAGATGGCAAATCTGTTTCATGGTTGAATGGCCTGAAAATTGATGCTCTGTTGAATACAAGCATCTGGTGTTGATATCTGTAATATGTGTGTGTGTAGTAAAAACCAAACAGATATTCTTTTTATTAAATTTCTAGGTTATGTTGTCCAAGGATCCAATGGAGAGTATGTATATTTGAACACATCAGAACGCATTGATTTGGTACGACGGGTTGCACATTTGGCAAATGATAAGCTCATTATTGCTGGATCAGGTTGTGAATGTAAGTAGTTTCCTTTGTATTTGACATGCATATTTTTTAATGATGAAACTTTGAGAAAAACCTATTTCTTTGTTTTAGATGTAAGTAGATACTCAGTATGTATTAACCAACCTCATTGCAGAACAAAGGTAAATTAGTTATTGCCACTTTAATATTTAATGATTTATTAAATTTTTTTTTCACGTCAGAGTAGATGCTGCAGTTATAGTTTCTGTTCTGTTTCGGAGGCTTTCTCTTCTCCCTTGTATCCCCCACCCATTGCATGATACCTGTTATATAGCAGTAGTGTGACCAGCTATGACAAGCTCTGACCAGCAGCCAAAGTGTTTCCACGTTAAAAACCAACCTTGTGTCATGGTTAAGGTAAATCTTGAGCATTTAGCAATATGCTTGTAGGTAAGATAACATTCCATTGTTTTCTCTTGATAGAATGTGATAAATATTAACTTAATTAGATTAACTGTTCATGTTATCAAGTCAGCATTTGATTATCTATAAAAAAAAAAGTTTATAGATTTTAGAATAATGTAGTGGTATATTTCATTCATTTACTTAATAAAAGTATCTATTTTGCTTGTAATTAAAATTTCTTAAATTACTTATAACCAGAAATAAATTCTTGTATTACTCATTTGACAAAATCATTAAATTTCTGCTGACTTAAATTAATTTTGCAATTTATCAATTTTGAAACTTTGATTTTTATATATATATATATATATATAAAAATAAATAATGATGCTAATTTTGGCCTCAAATTATGTTCAGTGACTTCCCCCAAATATAGAACTGAACAGTATCTAATATATTAGTCAACTGATATCTGCATATTTTCTAAAAGTGAATGTCAGATTTTAACAAACTTCTGAGGATACTTTATATCTAAGCTTACAAAGCAGTAACAAACTAATTCCACTTTTTGAATTAAACAAAGTGACACATATACATACCTAGGGATATATCAGTGAAAATTGACACTTTACATGAAAGCTTGTATTGATCCAATTCTTTATCATCTCTTTAGTAAATTAATTGGTCAAAATTTAAGTTATAGAATAGCCTGCTTATAAAAGTTTTAAAAAAATCTTGCTCATTATTACTGATATTACTAACTGAACATGCTTACAAAGAGCAATAATTCACTACCTATAACTTCTATCTGATATTGGTAGCATAAATTTTTATTTTTACCACTTGGCAGAATTTGCTTATAGGATTCATTTTTGGAAATTTATATTTGAATTGAATTTTTGACCTTTTCTAATTTTCAGATGAAAAATACTGATCATTTTAAAAACTTCTCATTTGTGCTGATTGATTGTATAATTTTCAACTGATTATTTGAAATTGGTAGGTAAGAACAGCTTAAAGTATAAGATTTCAACAATATCTTTGACCTAATTTTGCTACCATATATCAATGAGAATTCTTAAATTGTACTTTTATACTAAAATCTAAATTGAAGTTAGCATGAGCTTTGAAAGGGTTTTTTTTTTTTTTCTGTCCAGTTGTATCGTATATTCTTTCAATTTAGAAACATTATTTTTAAACTGCATTCAGTGTGATTCTGTGTTCTTTGACATTTTCTTCATTCATTTCATTAATAAAAATAAAAATAAGGTTTTCTTGACTGGAGTGATTTCCTGAACAAGCTTTATTTCCCCTCCAGAAAAATCAACAAAATCAACAGCCCACCACCACCACCACAAGATTTTCTTCCCTCTGAATGAATGCTACTTAAGGTGCAATTGCTAAATTTAAAACTTACTACATTTGGAAAGCATTCAGACTCTTAGTGTGAATGTTTTGTAGAATAAAGTGGGGTGGGGGCAGTTGTTGCAATTGAAAATATTTTTAGTTCATGGAATCTGCAAAGCACTCTGGTAGGCTGTTACCAAACATGAGAACTGCTTTCAACAACTTAGTGAAAAATCACAAAACTGGGTTCTCCCAACTTAAGATTTTGAATATTTTCCCAAAGTAGTAAGCTTTGAACATAGCAATTATTCCTTGATCTATGAGCCATGGGGGACAAAAATCACATTTTCATTCAAGTACAATGTGAAATGTCTAGGATTGTGGCAATCAAATTTTGCAAGGAAGTGGGGATACTGAAGTGGTATACATTGTGAGCATTGACATTTTTTTTTTTATCATTTATTATATTTCTGGCATTAAAACATTTCCTTTAGAGACTCATGATAAAAAAGTGTCTTTTACAAAATAGGTAATATCTCTATTTTTTTTTCCTTTAAGCCACTGCTGTCACAATTGAACTCACAAGAAAGATGGCTTCAGCTGGAGCCAATTGTGCTTTGGTTATTACCCCTTCATTCTATAAAGGAGCCATGTCAAATGCAAGTTTTAAGACACATTTTCTCAAGGTGAGATCATAGCAATGAAAAATTGTTTTGAGACATGTTGATTTGCCATCAATTACCCATGTCTGCTACCTAGACAAATGATGCTGTATTCTACTAAATCAAGTACACAGATTCCAAATCTATATTAAGAATTATTCTACCCATATGTTCAAAAAGGAAACCGACATAAGAGTGAGAAATGACAGAATGAGTGTAAAATATACTTTTCTGAACATGTCAGAAATAAAGTCAGACACATGCCCTTGGATGTTCATCTGATCTGTCATAAGTTGAACTGGGCTTGATACCTCAATTTCATCTCAGATTGATCCTGCTGGAACCTCTCACTGTAATCATCAATCAATTCAGCACTCAGATCTGATGGAAAGAAACATTTAACAAAAAAACCCCAAGATAAGAATACAAGATGCATATTTTAGTATGTGTTCAGCTCTGGGGCCCAATAAAGTTCTGTACATCTAACCTGGAAAATAATCTCATGCTTCCAGCTGAAGTGGATTCTTATGCACATATTTCGAAGACCAGACATGCTAGAACATATTCTTAATAAATTCAGAATCAGCATGCTTGATTTACTCAAGTACATCATTTGACTGGGTAGCCAAAAAAAAACAAAAAAAAAAACACTTGTCATGTAAAGTGGGTACATATTCAAAAATTAGCTTTGTTTAAATATAAAACACATTACCAAACTCTTTGTTGTCCACTGTCATTGTGATATGTTAAATTTGGAAATAGTTCACTGAAAAAAAATTAAAAAAAAAAAAAAAAATCAAAGGTTACCCAGCTTCCCATCCTGAGTTGTCTTTCCAATTTTACTCTAAATAAATTTTATTAAGAAATTAGATGAGTATCAAAGAAAAACCTGCAACTAATGCCAATCCATTTGAGCAGAAACAGTAGAATACAAATGCCAAAGGACAACTTTATGAAAAATAAATAGACGAATAATTTAAGAGATAAATTAATGAGATGATTTAAAGATATTTATAGATTTTTTTTTAATGTAGCTTCATACTACAAAATAAATTTTTGACTAATAATAATTGATAATACTTCTGTTCATAAGTTCAGGAATCACTAGCATAAACAAGACCCACATGGGTAAAATTAGAAGATAAATTGATGTTTTATGGATAAAATGTGAATATTAATTTTAATGATGATTATCATATTGGTACAAATTGTATTATGGAACCTTCCATATTAAGAAGGCTACCACATGTATCAACAAATTAACTCCTTTTCTAATAAGCTAAATTTTTCCGTTTCACTCAGTCCTTTCAAAATCTTCTTTAGCCATTTGTGTTTAGATATAAATTATGTGCTTAATTCCAGTGGGCACCCCACTACTATGCTGCCTTCTCTCCAATTTCATTGGTAGGGTGAAGGTTAATGCTTATATCATCCCAATAGGAAATGCCAAGGGAGAATGATAAATTTTGTTACCAGTCCCATAAACATGGGATTCTCATTTTAAACATGATTTTCTGCTATATTCCATTTCAGTGGGAATATGAATAAATACAGTTCTTATACAACTGCCTGGTAAATTTATTCCCTTGTTTATATTTTTTCTTGAAAAGTGTTTGATTGTTTAATCTTTATTAGGATTATCATGGTTAAAAGGAGTGATTGGGATTTAAAAATTGTTACTGTTCATATAAATTTACTTCAAGCTTTAAACGATGAGTAACTACTCTATACAAGTTTCATAGGTGCCATACTAAGTCAACCAATACAAATTGTTTAACTATCAGATAAACATGAAGAGCTGATTGACACTAAAGTTTTATGAAATGCTATCCTTTGTCCCAACTAGAAAATTAAGTTACAGTCACTCAATTGTGTCTTGTGGTATTTTAACCTGCTTTTCTTTTTATTTGGGATTTATCTAAAAAAATCTTTTATGAGACATCTGCAAATGACAGACACCTCATACGTCTTATACATATGTAGTTTTAAGAAATAATTTATGCTAACTGTAAAAGCTTTTAAAATTGTTGGATTATCAAAGTTTTAATTAAAATCATGCATTTATTGTTATGCAGTTGTTTGTTTGTTTGTTTTCCTTCTTAAATCTGAAATAAAATTTAAAAAAAAAAAAAAAGAGTGTTTGACAAGAGTTAAACTGATATTTTTCTCTATCCAGATTGCTGATGACAGTCCTATTCCAATTTTGTTGTATAATGTACCTGTGAACACAGGATTAGACTTAGACCCAAACATAATTCTGGAATTAGCAGATCATCCCAATATAGTTGGATTGAAAGACAGTGGAGGAGATGTAAGTTACTAATACTCTTTGATTCAGTTCTACTAGATGTGTTTAGGCAATACATTTCACAGATTCATTCCTATTTATATAAACACACACACACACACACACATATATATAAGGCAATATAGATAAAAGCAAAGTCTGGAAAGTAATCAATTTTGATGTAAACTTAAATGTCCAAATGTTTCTATTAAAAAGAGAAAAAAATTAGTTGGTTCAAAAAGTAATTGTATTGAGTATATTTATTAGGTACCAAACTTTAAAATGACTACTTTTTCTCTCTCCAGATTTCAAAAATTGGAAATTTGGTGTTTGCCACCAAAAATAAAGACTTCCAGATTTTAGCAGGATCAGCTGGTTTCCTGTATCCAGCTTTAATGATGGGTAATTGTTTTAATTCTTTTTGTAGCAAAGTTCACATTATGATTTCATACCTCTCTTTTAATTGATATTTTTCAGTTGATTTGATACAAAATTTTCTAACTGCAGGTTGTGTTGGAGGTATTTGTGCTTTAGCTAATGCAATGGGCAAAGAGCTGTGCGATCTTCAACTCCTCTATGAACAAGGAAAGCATGAGGAAGCCCTGGAACTACAACAGAAGCTCATTGCTCCAAATACAGCAGTAAGTTTTATGAATTTTCTGTTCATTAGCTGGAAAAAAATACAAAAAAAATAGAAGACAATAGTAGGAAAGAATTCCCACATGCAACCTGTGCTAGCAGTATCTAAACAGACTGCAAATTTGATGTATTTAGGTTTACTAAAGCTCAACTGTTGTACTGCTATTGAAGTCAACTCTTCCATGGTCTGTCCTGTCTGCTTGTTATTTCATCCATGTAGAGCAGTGTTGCTGAGGCACCCAGCCACCTCCACAGGAAATTACTGACTCTTTGCAAAGCCCTTATTTGTGGAGAAAACCTCATAGACCAAAAAATTTCTTAAATTCCCTGTCCAAATCTTTCTTTGATATTCCTTTTCGCTAATATTTATTTTTGGAGGTGATTAACATTTTGCTAACAGGAATGCAAAACACCTACATTTTAAGAGGCTATCGCAACCTGGCAATCCTTTTGTAGAAGTTGTTCTCTTAGGGATATGGAATTTACTGCTTTAACTGGTGTAGAATGTTTGCCATACATTTATTGTTTACAATCACTTAGTTTCTTTCCAATTTTGAAGTTACACAATTATTTAGGTGGCAGTTCAACAAGATAAATTTAAAAGCAGCAGCAACAAATAGGGACCAATCCAACCCACTAGGGAAATTTATCAGGTTTCATATATAAATAGCCAGTTAATCGAGTGATAAAATAAATTCAAGAATTAGGCTTGATTTTCTGTTAGAAAACACGTTAAGCTAAATTTGAAAATATACTGACCTCAAACTTTTCTTTAACTGGTTCCTCAACCTCTTAAAAGAAAAAAAAATCTGTTAATTATACTATGATTTATGTAAATATGAAGCAGATTATAGTTAACAATTTAGTTTCAACTTTAAAGGAAAAGGGTGTTTTTTGGTAACACTGTGCCTCTGCTTTATTATAGTAATCTACTTGTATACTTTAAATTTTACAAAAAGATTTCTTTCCAATACAGGTGACAAGGAAATATGGAGTTGCAGGACTCAAACAAGCAATGGAATGGTTTGGTTTTCATGGAGGACCTCCACGTCTTCCAATGCTACCACTCAACAGAGAGCAGATAACTGAACTCAAGAAAGAGTTCACAACTAGAGGGTTTAAAGTCTGACTTTAAAAACTTTGCAACAGCTATTAGTTATTCAATTTTTTTTGCAAGAGGACCCCCACCATGTTTTTATTTAAAACAGTCTATTTGATACTAAAATGTTCTTTTTTTTCTTCGCTAAAGCAACCATTAGCTTATTTTACCATATCCCTCCATCAACACAAGTATGTGTAAGTGAATTGTTTTTCATGTATCATGAATCTTACAAGTCAATGTATTGAGAATAAAAATGTATAAAATTTTTCAAAAAAATATTTTTCTTTGTACAAATGTCTCTCACAAAATGTTGACACAGATGATTATGACATGCATGACAAATTTAAACTTTTGTGAAATTTCATTGGATTAAATTTTGTGTAAAAGTATTTTAAATACATTATTCTAACAATGTATGAATTTAAGTCAAATTATTCTTTTTATATAGTTGCTGGGGAATTAAGATAAAGTAAAAACCAAGTATTTTGTTTATAAAAAAATCCCTCAACAATTTCGTTTTAATATAAAAAAGTTACAAACTAGTATCATTTAATCTTCTCTAGGTATTATTATATGTTTCAGCATTAAACAGTTTACCTTTTATTTTTAAAAAAGCTTAAAAATATATATGAAAGTTTGTTAAATAGGGAGCCATGTGCAAGAACGAAATTTAAGTTATATTTGGTAAGAGCTATAACTAACTGTCCTCTTCCCTTTTTTTTGAAGACAAAAAAAAAGTACAACAGGTTTTATTCAAGGGAAGCAGTTCAATAAGAGAAAGAAAAAAAATTTAGTAAAAGCTGCCATTTTTTCTCTCTCAAGAGTTTTTTTTTTGTTTTTATTGTTATTTTTTTTTTTTTTTTTAATACTTTTCTTACCCAATCCTCATTTATTGTACAATTATTATACCATTTCTCTCTACCATCAATTTGCAGATCAACTGTCCAATCAACTCTGTGGTAGTGAGATTTACACAAGCATTTTCTTTTTGTCTTGGTTTCTAGAGAAAGCTTTAATAGTGACATTTAAAACTGAATCCAATTATTTTCTTTTACACAGGACTATATTTTCAGTAATTTTTTTTCAAGTGTTTTGTTAACAAAAAAAATCTGAAAACAGTCATTGAATGAATGCAGTGTTGTATTTCTAAAAGTTTCCCTTTCCTGAAAAATACTTATAAACAACCATTCATCAACACAGTGGTAATAGTGATGGTGGTTCTCAGTGACAACGGTATTGGTGGAGGGTTTATGGAGACCCAAGTAAACCTTGAGATATAGTTGTTGTTTAGTAATAATTTTATCACTGCTGTTGGTGTCTAAAAGTTATGAGAACAGTCTCAATATCAACATTTAGCTCAGTAGCCCTCTCTTAAAATTGGGACCATTAAGTTAACCATTAATTGGGGCTGGCAGTAGTAATGTTAGAACAATTTTACTACTTCTCAAATGATTAAACAACCAATGTTTAATAGCCTGTAACCCTACCAACTAACCAAACCAGCCAGTCACCAACCAGTGATCAAGTCATCAGGTAGAATATGCTCAGCCAGTCATAAATGATAGTTTCAGCTGCAGGTGACACCTTTCTTCTTGTTGAAAATGTCCTTGAGGTTCATGTTCACGTTCACTTGCAATTTATCTTTCTTTTGTTGAGTTGAGTCCAGACAGAACCTGAGCAAACGATAAACAAAAAACAAAAAAAAAACTAAAAAAAACCACAAAAACAAACAAAAAAAAAAAACAAAAAAAAAAAACAAAAGATGCAAAAAGAAAATCTTTCAATAAAATTAATAAAGAAAAAAAAAAAGTAATAGATCAGAAAATTAACCTCCAACTTCAAAAGAAAATAAAAATATATATTTCTAGTTTATACCTTTTAAATTCTTCCAATTCTCTTTCAGCCTCATCCATCTCACCATTTTCAAGATCAGATTCAGATTTAGGAAGGAAGACATCTTCTGGAAGAGACATGTCAGGCAATTATTGCAGACAAATTATCTTTATTATAATTCTTCCATTTGATTACAACCAATCTTGATAAGAATTACTAAAGATTCCAATTTTTCTTTAGACAACATCTGTTCAGTGTGCAGCATTGTTTTTATTTACTTATTTTTAAAGAAAGTGTTTAAACAAAGATATAGTACAATGGAAATATGTCAAAGAGAAAGGGTAACATGAATAAACAGCAGAAAATGTAAAAAAAATTTAGTTTTCATTACTCCTGTTTAGCCTACAGCCCACACCCATCAAAATATTTTTCTTTTTTATGAACAAAAGATTTTTTAGGTGATATGTAAATCTAATTCATCATCTAACCAAATTAATATTAAAGAAAATACAAATTACAGGCAGCTGAAGTGAACTTTATCTAACAACTTAAAAACTTAAATAGAAAAACCAAGACATCTTTCATTACTTTGTGAAGGAACAGTAACTTATCCAATGTTTATCTATGAAAGCATATTACATGCAAAATACTTAGGCTAAAACAAAAAAGATGAGCTTACCAACAAAGTTAGCATCATTAGTTTTATTCTTTTTCTTATTTCGCTTACTTTTGCCAGATTTCTGAAAAAAAATTTAAATTTTAAATTATCATTTAGAGTTGGTCTAAATGTTTTACAATTTTATTGATATGTTTATTCAAATCAAAACTCAAAATACACTAAAATCTAAAAATAGATTTTCAATAATGATGTAATATTCACATGAAAAAAGAAAGGGAGTTTTATTTTCTCCTTGTATTCTGATCTATTCAAATAATAGACAACCAAACATTTTAAATCATGAAAAATATTAAGGATTATAAATCAAACATTAAAGTATAAAAAAAATTAAAAGACCATTTTGCATAAGAAATGTAGTTTTCAACTATCCACAAAAAACTAGTGGTCATGCACAGATACATATGGGAAATAAGTAAAATGTATTTAAAAATTTTGAAGGAATTACCCATCATTATAGTATTTTATATATTTTTACAGAAACACTCAGATTTTATGATGCAAGCCAATGTTTTTGCAATAAAATTGGAATTAACAAACAGATGGTGTATTTCTTAATGTTTATATAATAAACAATTCCAACATAATAATTTCTCATTTGAAATGTAATTTAATTGAACCAGCATGCTCATCATTGACCTTTTTCAAGTGTCCCATTGTATTCTGTAACTAAAAAATATTGAACCAAATCCTTTATTCATTCCACTTTTCATGCTTATGCAATATTTCATATTAGTTAAAGTCAGGCTTATTCACCTTTTGTTGCTTGTCTGTTTTTTCCATTGAATTAGAGTATGTAACTTTGCTGCACTACCAGACACAGGAATTGAACTAACAACTGGTAGTGCTGAAAAGTAAATGGAAGAAACAGGCAAACAACACACATTAAATAAGACTGGCGAGTATTAACTAACAGGAATTATCCCCTTCGCCTGGAAAGTGGAATGAGAGCAATCTACTCTTGTGGAGTAGATAAAGGATTTGATTACTAAGACATCTGAATGGAAAGGGGGGGGGGAATAAATAAAACACATAATAATAATAATAATAATAAGATGAAGAAAAAGAAAATTACCTTGTGAATTTCAGCTTATTATATTCATTTTTATTAGAAATATTTATTAATACTAATATGATAGTGAGAGGTTTTATGCAACTCAAGGGTTGTTTAGAATATTGTTAATACATACAGATATACTAGTTATTCATATTTATTTTTTATGTTCAATTATGAAAGATCAGAATAATGGGGAGAAAATGAATGACAAGATAGAAAATTGTAGTGATTATTTTGAGAAGGCTCTTCAGACAAAGGTCAGAGGGAAGCAATCTTAAATAAAGGGAGGAGAGATGAGAGATTAGAAAACAAAAACAAACACCTGTTTACATCAAAACATTAAAGATATAGAGACTCAACATTTACATTTAAATGGTAACATCAAATAGATTCAACGAAAATATTCATCTCTTTTCATTTTTCAGGCCAAATCATTTATTTTTACTTAAAATTAATAATAAGAAATCTTCAATTTTCTTGCATTTTCAGACTAAGGATCCTGGACATTAATTTTACATTTTAAAACAACGAGTGCACTTCCTTTACTTATGCTTTATTTTTTGTCTTAATAAATTTAGTTTTAATTTAATAAAAACTGCATTAAGTTGAAAGTGTGGTCAAACCTACTACAATGAAAAATGAATACAGTGAGTATATTGTTTTGTAAAAGATCCCTCTTAAATTCATAGTCTCTTTAAATATCTTGCTAATGTATTTCAAAGGCATTTTGTACATTCCTGATTATTAAATTTTGAAGAATACAATTCTGATTAAAAAGAGAAATTTATTAAGGCAAAAATATATTGAAAGTATACTAATTTCAGAATCCACTTCAGTAAAATTGTCCATGATCATACAGCACATACATCACCTTTCTTCACAAAATTACTACAAATACAATATAGGATTATTAAAATAATAAAAATAAAAAACAATGAGATGGGCTGAGTTTCTGATACAGATATATCAGATGTTAAAAATTAAATTAAATTGATGAATATTCCTGAACCTAATGTTTTGATGTAAACTGTAACTGGCATTTCACACTTATAAAACTTATATCTGAAGAATTTCTTGGAATAAAATGCATCACTATTCAGTTTTCTATTTTGTCAGTTGGAAACAAAGATTCAGATATATAAAAAGATTGCCATGGGCGTCCCCCTTAAGCAAAAAAAAAACCTCAAAAGAAAAAAATATTTAAAAGTTAAGAATGAAAAAAACAAAATTTAAATTTGTTGCATTTCCAATCAAAAAAGAAATTGAAAACAAACAAAGGCAAGATAAGAACAAGAAATAAGCAAGAAAAGTTGATTGACTAACAAGAAAATATATTTTAAGAAGCTGGTGTTACATAAAGAGAGAGAAAGGATGCAGAATATTAAGGACACAAAAGTATCCATACCACCTTTAACCATAAACACTCTTTAGGTAGAAATCGCTAAAAAAAGAGCATAGCTTGATGAAAAGACGCCAACCTTGACGAAACAAAATTTTATTGTCTAAATGCTTATGTTATTATTAAGAGGAAAGACCAAAGTTTTTTTTTAATTATTTTAAAAAATTTTCCTTCTTTTTAGAACATTCTAAATTTTGATTAAAAAACCTTTTTTCTATTTGTATCAGCGGAACTAGTAAATAACATAGACAATTTTTAGCACGTTTTTTGGTATGACACACATTAATTTGAAAATCGTGCAAAAAATAGAAATAATTATCGGATGTTAATGAAACTTTCAGGAACTATTCACAGATGATCGAAATTATTATAAATATATTTTTTTTATGAAAGTCATGGTAGAAATATTTTTAAAAATATTTATTACCCCCCATAACTAATTTTATGAAAACGCTAGAAATTCGATCGCATCGGTTTTAGTGATTACAATAATTAAAAGCACAGGGCTTTGAGGAATGCAAATCATGTTTTTTTTTTTTAACTGGATACGCAGTACCTGAAAATCAGCTCTGAATTGTAACATACAAAACTCAATAAAACAAAGATATTATTTAATTTCAAATGCTTTTATTTGCTTTTAGTTGTTTTTTTTATGAATATGGACAATATTTTCTGAAAGCAAAAAATTTTTTCGATGAAAAATGAATTTTAATACAATTATTTGTTATTTCATTAATTATAATAGATTTTACATTTAAGTTGTTAAAATATTATAAAATTAGTTAAAAGCCGCATCGGCTTTCATAAGTGTCCTTATGAGATAGATCTTTTTTAGCGCGTTGTAAATTGTATCATTTTTGACTAATCAGAAGATCCCCAGTAATTAAGAAATGTAATTTTGTGCTTATAATCGAGCTGTAATTATAAAATACGGAAGACCAACCAGAATATAATTAAGTTGTGTTATTTGAGTTAAGCATTGTTCTCTGCTGTTAAGGCCTTTTACTTTGCTTGAAACATGTGTGGAGAAGTTAATTTGATTTTTTCAATTTCAACTGAGAAGGTTACCTACAAGTATCAGTATCATCTTATGAAATTTATATGATGTTATTTTTATATTAATCTGTTACAACATTTTTCCATAAATGAAATATCAAAATTAATAATAAAATGAATGCAAATACAAATAACAGTAGAATGTAATAAATGTACATAAAATTATAGTATTTTATGTACAATTCTGATAAAATTTCATAAGAAAGGTACCTATAAATTAATTAGATACCTTTCTTAAGAAATATGAAATTTAATGTCACTCTTAACAGTTTTATTTTAATTTCTTTACAATATATTTCCCATAAAGCATCATAAACGTAAAGGTGAAAGCTCAAAAAAAAAAAAAAAAAAAAAAAAATTAGGCTGGAAGTTTTCGTTAAAAATAACAGGGTAAATAATTTGTTCATGTAAATGTAAATTATTTCACTTTTCTCCTTCCGTAGAACAAATTAGCCTCATGGAATTCGTAAATATATCATTCATCACATGTCAAGAGACGCGAAAGTTTATGACCTGCTTTGTTTTATTTTCAAATTACATCTTTTTGGCACAAAAGCTAAGTTAAGTTTGGTTCAAAATATTTTAAATAAACATTATAATTTCTGATTTTCTTAAAATAAGTTTTGAAAAAATGATAATTGATATTTAAAAAATTTCAAAGTCAGATTTCCAGTTTTTTTTTTTTTTAAATGGAAAAAAATGGTTAATTTTGCTGACTCAAAAAAACTAGATTTTTAACGAAAATTTCGGACGTGCTAGGAACGATTAAAAATGGAAAAAATACCCCAAAAATACTTTGACCTTTCCTCTTAATAATAACAAACATTTAGACGATAAAATTTTGTTTTCGTCAAGTTTGGCGTCTTTTTCATCATGCTATGCTCTTTTTTTAGCGATCTCGTGGAGGTACCTATCTTTAGGCAACTTCAGTTACCAAGGAAAGCATTTGTCCTGCCATTGCAGTTGACTCCAACTGCCAAATAACAGTATATTTAAATTTCACGATTGTGTTGTCACATCCTGCTATAGCAACAGCAAAAAAGCCTCAACTTAAATCAAGATCAAAGCTACTACAGTTTGTATTTGAGGAGCCACCATATATAGTGGAAGGAGAAGTAATAATGTAGAGTGTGAAATGTTAAATAGACATAAAGTGAAACATGTCAATTGGATAAGTACATGAAAACTAATTTCTCAATAAGTAATTTTGAGTGATGGATGAAGAGCTACACTGAATAAACCTGATGGTCGATCCTTTATGGATATAGTCAATCAACACAGTTTATAAAACAACAGGGCAAGATGGAGTAATATTTTGTGCAAGTATTGTTAGCAATAAAAGATGATAATTGTATTAAGATAAATGCAAAAAATTCCAACTTCTTGAACAGGATTTTTTTTTTTTTAGTGCAACAGATCATGACCATGAATCTTGAAACAAGACAATACCTTGTGGCACCTTGCATTATTAGAAATATTCATAGAAATATGATTTTTTTTTTCTTAAGTTTATTAAACAGGTTGTTAATTTTTTTTAAAACGGAAAATACTG